GTTAATCGTATGTGGTATTGCCAAAAATAAATAAAATTGGATCAATACTAACACTTACTACCACATGCCTAATATAAGATTTTTAAACTTCCGGTTGGCCTTATACCGTATATATCGGTGAAAATGTAAGATATCTTAGCAAAATTAACTGAGCGTATAATAAGGAATATAATTTAGTTTATTGCCGAAAATATCTCAAATTATATTATGCTACATATAATAATTTCTGTACTTCTAGCAAACCTTATTAAAAGACCTTGGTCTCAATCTCATTTTCCTAATATCATCAATTCCGATCTTCTGGTTGACGTTTTGCACATCAACTAAAAGTATTAAATTTAGTATCTCCTATTAAGTTTGTGTTAGATATATCTCATTTGAAGATGATTAATATATATAATTATAATTTTTACTGATGGGAAGTAAAATATTTTTATAAAACTAATGGAGTCTATGACCTACAATATAACTTAATAAAATAACAAATTTAAGTGTATCCATGCACGATTTCGTCATAATGAATGTTGAATTCTTTCGTATACCTATTTCTAATATTTAATTTTAATTTTTAGTTTTTGTTTTTAACATAGTAAATACTCGACACATATGGTTATTTTCATCCAATTGATCCACAAAACCCGCCTCGTAGATCCTCCACTGATATACATGTAATATATAAAATAACCAAAACAATTTTTTTTGGTCTCTCGGTCCCCCTCTTTCTTCGGCTATTTTAGGATGACGCGACGAGTTGAAAACCAGGTGACTGTCTGTTCGTCCGTCCGTCCGTCTTTGCAAGCTGTAACTTGAGTAAAAATTGAGATTTCTTTATGAAACTTGGTACACATATTTCTTGGTACCGTAAGACGGTTGGTATTGCAGATAGGCGTAATCGAACGCCCACAAAATGCCGATTCAAGTCTGTTATTTGGTATACAGGACCAAGTTAGGGAGGTGCATCTGCAGTTAAAATTTTTTTTTAAGTAGGCGTGGTCCCGCCCCTAAAGGGTTTAACGTGCATATCTTTTAAACCACTAAACTATAATAAAAAAATTCACTGAGAACAAATGTTTTTAGCACGTCCATGTGTGAAAATGGGAGAAATCGGGTGACAACCTCGCCCACTCCCCACATAACGGTACTGTTAAAAACTATTTAAAACGAATAAATCAAGCATTAAACAGTTTAAAGTATGCCACCTTGTGACCAAAACTTGTATAAATCGAACCAAAACGGTGCCTATAGTTGACTTTTTACTGAAAATATCGGTCAATGTGTAAGATACAATATATAATTGAAATTCATATAATAAAATAATTAAATAAAACTCTCGATAATATTATGTTTTTGTGTGAATAATGGGTTGAATCAAAATTTGAGTAAATTTAGTTTACAAATTGCTCTAATTAATTTCACAGTAAAGTTAAATAACTGAGGCAACAGTTCCTACTTCTAATTATGAAAATATATAAAGACATCTTAAACGAGTATACCATTTGACGTTGCGAGAGTATAAAATGTTCGGTTACATCCGAACTTAGCTCTTCCTTACTGGTTCTTTATTTCTTTTTTGTGTTCTGCTGTCGTTTGGCGTAGCAAAAAAGTAGCACGTGTAATATTAATAACTGTAGATTACAGATTGAGAAATAACATTGACCCAACCATCGTTGCAAGGGATTCAATATTTTTATAACTTCATTGCGTGGAAATAACAGTTATGTATGCACTTGTATTTGTACGTGTGTTGACAGCAATTGCTTTATGGTTGAAAGTAATCTGTGGAGTAGGGGTATAGCAAGTGAATTGATATTGAAAGCTAGCAACAAATCGGTAAGCAGATATACATACAAGTATGTGTATATGTAAATATGTAGATATACAGGTTGGTTGAAAAGTTTCAGCACTAGAAATGAAAAAATACCTTTTATTTCGTACAAAAATTTTTTTTATTTGATATAACCTACATTAACTTCAATACACTTATTCCAATGATCGTCCAATAATTTTATGCCGTCCCTGTAATGACTTTCCGGAAACTCTGCAAAATACCCGTCTACGTTAAAACACCTTTGTGAGCAGATGCATTGTCTTAGTGAAAAATTATTTTTTTGTGCTGCAAACCAGGTCTTTTCTCACGAATTTTTTCATCCAGCTGATCCAAAAGGCTGCAATAATATTCGGAGTTGATTGTTTTATCTTTCTGCAGATAATCAATCCACAAAATTCCTTTTGCATCCCTAAAAACTTATGCCATAACCTTCTTTGCTGACCTGCTTTGGAGCTGAACAACCAGCTTCAGTCCACTGTAAATGTTCTTGTTTCAATTTAGGATCATGTTGGTAGATCCAAGTCTTATCCATAGTTAACAAATGACGCAAGAAATCGGTTTTATTCTGCTTAAAAACCTTCAAATTATGCTGAGTTTTTTGCTGATATATGTAATTCTCCATGTAAAATATGAAGTATTCGTTCGTTTGAGATGCCTATGGCATTAGCAATTTCACGCTTAGTCAAACTTGGATCTTCACTAACCATATTATGAACTTGCTCAATGATTTCTGGTGTGGATGTGGTTTTAAATCGTCCTTCGCGTGTACCGTCTTCAGGCATAGGCCACGTTTAAATTCACCAGTCCAAAATTCGGTGCGTTTTGAAGGTGAGGACTCCTTATGCACTTCTAACAACTGTTCATAACCTTTCAAAACAAAGAATCTAATCCCTGCGCGATATTCAATTTTTCCATATTAAAAAAATACTCTGACATGTCAACTTCAAATGGCTAGTGAACAAAGAAGTGATTGACAGAATGACTTGTAACTTTGCGTGTGTTCTCACGACAGATGTACCAACTTGAGAAAAAAAAATCTGGAGCTAGTAGTGCTATTTCTTAGTGAGCACTAATCAATTTTTCAACCAACCTGTATCAATAGATACAGGCATGCGCCAGACTTGATATCTGAGCACGAGCTAGCTATGGAAAACCAATATATCTGAGTAAGTATGTAGCTGATTGTTTACCACCAGCACTATATAAATACTCACACATTAGGTTGGTTTATTTCCTACATTTCCTAAGTTTCATTTAGTTATAAAATTCATAAAAAAAAAAAATTGCTTAAAATATTCAAACTTTAACCATGCATATATGTTACCATAAACGGTTAGGTTTACTAAGCAATCGTAAGAGACCATTTTGTAGATCACTAAATTTCTGCCAAAATCACTGAAATAAGGTATTTTTCCAACTAGTTGGAAGTTGGAAGCGAGATATTAGTTTTTCTTTTTGATAAAAGGAAAAAAGTAGGAAAATGTAAAGCAGAAGAATTTCCCGTTTCAATTAAGAGCTCATATTTGGAAATAATTTCTTAGAGTGTCTAAGAACCTATCAACCTAATACCCATGTATGTACCATATACATGCATATATACTAGTATTACTCATAGATCGGAATATTTAAGGAAAAATATTCTTAAATGCATAAATAAACCAACAGATACACCATAAAGTCAACCAAAAAGACGAACATGAATAAATTGGCATATGAGGTCTAGTAGGTAGAACTTGTGGAACGATTTCATCAAGTTTTGATACCATATTACTGTATATGGGGTTAACTGGTGTTAAATGGGATTAAGAAGAAGATGTGAACCGATTTAGATTATTTTTTTATATATTATTTTCTGTATGTTGTGAAAAAGTTCGATTTTTGGGCACGACAATCAATAAATATTTTATTTTATATTCATATTATAGTCTGTTCGAAAATACCGTGGACAGTCATTAATTTTGCTTTGACTGAAAATAATTAATTAAAAGTGGTGAGAAGCAGTTAGTGACCAACCATATTCATTATCTTATCCTCAGAACAAATTTACAATTTTAAATTCTTTTTTTTTGGCAAATCGTTGGTTTCAGGAGAGGAGATCTTTTAAGGTTAGTCAATATAATATGCAATAATATGAAATCCATAATTTTTTAATTATATTGAAAGTTTTACTTAGCATTGTTAGAATGCACAGGCGAGTTGCTATCGATGTGTGTGACCAGCTTGTTCTGATGTTACACAGTGAGAGAGCGTCTTTTTCTAATAACAATGCATCTGTATGACGCTGAAATGGAAAAAATCGGAGGAAAACTTGCTTCAGCAAGTCGGGCTGACTTTACTCCATATTAAAATGAATGGGCTGATTGCATTAATTTTTGACATTTCCACTTCTCCACGCCAAATATATCCTATATAATGATTTCGACTGTTCATCTGACTTTAAATCGTTTAGGTTGGTCAAAATGTGTGATATTTTAATAAAATTAAATGGACACGTTTTCTTAAAAGTTATTGTATAAAACTATATTAATGATTTGGCTCTCAAATCAAATGAAATTTCTCATGGTCTAAACCTCATATTTCTAATATAATTAATTCCGATCCTTTGGTTGACGTTTTTCATATCACTCAATATAGTAAATTAAGCCTCTTTGGTTGAGTTTATATCACATACTACATACATATATCTCATTTGAAGATGATTTAGTATAATTTTCGTTGACGGTAAGTAAAATATTGTAATAAAACTAAGGGTAATATAAGTTAATATGATATCAAATTTGATTGTAATCCATTCACTATATATAAAATTCTAATTTTTTTCGAGATCCAACTTTGAAATCTTGTATCAGCTACATACAAATAAGTTTGATCGAAAAATGTTATACACCATTGAAATAGGAGGAAAACGTATATAATGTTCATATTTTCTATGAATTTACTTCCCATAATTAAACTTGATTGATTTAATAGGCTCAATATCGAAACGGAAAAATTATTATTTTCCCCTACATTTCTATCTTTCTTTAAAAATTGTTTTGGTTCATAAAAAAGGTAATTTTGTCATATAATGTAAATATTGGTACAATAATGTTTCTAGGAGAGCATATGTTCTGCGGTTTGGGAATATAATGGGTCCTAAAAAAGTAAACAATGACAGCGTAATTTCACTCACCTTAACTCCTGCAGATGATCGCAGATATGCGCTTCGTGTGAAAAATGTTGTCAAAACTGTTGAGTATTTAGAATTGTACAGTTATCTCCTGAAATTAAAAAAAAATATACATGAAATATAAAAAATTGTACTTAAAAGTATAGGCCGCATAATTTATAATAACGTATCGTAACTAAAGTTTTTTCCGATAAAGTGAATGAAACCAACTGACTTAAGTTAGTTTGCTTGTTGCAATTGTAAATCTAATGGTATTCTATAGAATATATACTTAAAAGTCTTTCTTAGTAATGAAGAATTTTTAAACGCACGTCAAAAGTTATGAATATCATTGGAACGGGAAGTAAGTGTCAATCAAATTTCACCACAAGTACGCCACAATCCAAAGCTGTTTTTCCAGCGTAGGTAAAAACAGATATATTTATTAATTCATGAAAACCGTAGAAATTAAAGTCTCATATCCACTTTTCGTTGATAAGCGTTAAAATATCGCCGAAGCTTGTAAGCCACGTGTTGTCAGCACACAATTGTTCATACACTCCTGTATGGAGAGTTACAAAAAGTAGGCAAAGGACACACTTGATTGACTCCTCAAAGCCTCTAAGGCAGGTTAAGCTGATTGGCAGCGCACACAGGCACTTGAACTCGGTCAATAACAAAACACAGAGGATGTCAGTTGCCAGCATATTTATGAGTGAGCGCAAATTGGCACACATTCACGCCATAAATATCGGTTTTTTGCAAAGTGTTTTCAGGCGATCCACCCGCTCAGCCGCAACAAGAACGGCAGCATACAGAGTAAACTATAAGAAAATGCATAAAAGTGTGAGAAAACACCGAATAGACTATGAGACGAATATGTATGAAAACATAAAATGCGTAAAAAAATATTAGCACTAATGACTGCACATACAAATGGAAATCCCCCTGATAGACTGCTTTTAGGCGCAGACACGTACTTGCATGAGAATTGTGTATTTAATTTCACACACACATTCCAATGTGGCTTGAAGGCAGACACTCACACAATTTGCTGTTTTGTATTTTAAGCCAACATACTCGTGTGATTATGAGCGTGAATGGGTGATAAAACTGCGTTGGAGCGCCTAAATGTATACCCTGCGGACGCGAAATACAAGTATGATCATGATTGCTGCTAAAGACCGGATAATGTAGATATCTAATATTATAATATACTATAAGTATGTAATATTGTCAATATAGTTTAACAGCTCAAGTATCCTTTAAGAGGTGTTAAAGATATTACGATCGGAATGTTGTTCTCCAGTTAAATATTTATATATACCTATATGTAGATAAAGATTGTGAGGACCCAATGACCTATGCCTTAGAATAAATAATAAGAGTAAGAATGCGACATATACATATCTATTGTGGCTCCGGTGCACTCTATATTTTGTAACCACACATTTGGTGCTGCCAAATCTAATATGTTTATTGAAAAAGTGTTGAATATTATGTTTTGAAATTTATGTTCATCCCTCACCCTCTCATGCCAAAGACAGAATTTGAAAAAATACGATTTTTCTTCCCTTTACTGTCTTAAGATAATTCTTTCCATCAACTTTAACAAGATTTCGTAGTTTCATTTTTGTGTTCGCTTTCGCCTAATTCAGATTAGTTTTCTTCGAAAATTTTCTCGGAACAGCTCTCATTGATCTCAACGACTTTATCCCGTGTTTTTATTAAATCGTCTGGATTTACGAATTATTGCTACCCAAAGGGGATAGGTAGACATACAAAAATATTGTGATCTAGGTCCACTGTAAATGCAGCACTCACACTGCAAATCTTTTCTTACACTATTGAGGCGCAATTAAGAAAACGAATTGGAAACGGTGAACATATGGACTTTTTTCACTCTTGTATTTCCTTCGGGATGAATAATGTGACGAACTAAAATATGAGGGTAAATTTCGAGATAAGCGTATCCGTCAATTTGACGGATTCCGTAGAGATATGTATACTAAATATGATTTGAAAGTCTTAGGAAAAAACAATGTATATAAATTTTTTATACGAAATTTTTAGTTTACGATGCCGAAATTTTAAAACCGAATAAAGGATTGTATCAGAGAGGTAGTAAAATAATAAACGATGCATTCGAGGTCTCATATTGACCACAAAATATGCTGTCAGTTCAACTTTGGATAACCAGTAACAAAAAGAGCTCGATCAAAGACGGTCGAGAGAGACTTTGCGATTGCCAAGGAAACCTTGAAATGATGATAATTATTTTGTTAAGGGAATACTCATAAGAGCAGTAAAACATTTTCTTGGATTAATGATTAATCCATTATCCAGATAGCATTTTACAACAGAAATAATTGGAAAGATATCCAAAAGTAAAGACTTGACCAAAAAGATATAATTTTGAGCGGTCTTCAAGTAAACTCGAACATTTGTGACAATCGGAATAATTATTTTACTGCTTTTAAGCAAAACAAAAGCTCAAATGAGAGCTTTGAATTATGTGGGATTTACTATATATATAACAGATTATAGATCATATGTTAAGGATTGAAGATTATATGTTACATATTTGAAATCAGTTATTATAATATATATGTTCTAGATCACAGATAATACATTATATATTACAGATTACAAATTACAGACTATAGATTGTAGATTATATATTATGAATTATAGATTATAGAAAATACATTATATATAATAAGCCGCATTTTTTATATTTTAGTTTTAACTGTGATTTTCTATGACTCATACCACAGAAACAAAAGGATATAAGTATACTAAAATGATTTTACAGATTAATAATATAAGGTTGTCAAATATCTCCCTTCCGCCTTTTTGTCTTTTGAATTTCGCGGCTATGTACAAAGCGCTACAGAGCTCGTATCTGGCAACACTATACATAATTTGAAAGGTCTTGACATAACCTACAAAACAACGCTATGCATGATTAGCTTGGATATTGCGTTCAACAGTTATAGACGTGTAAACATGGAGTTCACTAACGCCGAAATTCGCGCTATTTTAAAGTTTTCCTTCGTTAAAGGCAAATCCGCTAGAGAAACGTTCCGTGAGATTAATGGTGTTTTGGGGGATGGTACTCTATCACTTCGAACCGCGGAGGAATGGTTTCGACGATTCAGAGCCGGTGAAAAACACCATGGATAAGCCAGCCGGCGGAAGACCTGTGACGACAAATACCGATCAAATCATGGAATACATCGAGTTAGACCGGCATATGGCATCTCGTCACATCGCCCAGGAGATGGGAGTTAGTCACCAAACCATTTTGAACCATCTGCAGAAGGCTGGATACAAAAAAAAGTTTGATGTTTGATGATGATCTAGATGGAAACAGATCATCGAACAAAACGGCGCATATTTTAACTAAATCCGATCACTGACAACCTTATATTTAATAGCGTCATAAGTCTAAAGGGATTCTCAAGTCATACCTTGGGCTATTGTGAAAAATACTCTAAATAAACATCCATTACATTATGAGATATCGATGTGAAATGTTACGCCCATACTTTTCTCACCTAGAAGCTGCTCATTAATCAGAACGGCCGATATCGGACGACTATAGGATACAGCTATAGTTCCAGCTGCCGTACAAACTGAACGATTGGTATCAAGTGCTGGTATAAAAATCTTGTTCACTTGAGGAGATATCTTCCTCAAATTTAGCATTGGTTATTATCCAAGGCAACGGTGAAAACTCCGAAGGAATTGTTTAGATCGAGGAATATTTTGCATTTGTCATCGTCTGGCGCTGAGTGCTTACACGTCTAAATAATTATATTGTGAGCTATGTCGTTCGGCCCATATGCAGGGAAGCGTTAAAAGAGTTAGGAAATGTTTGATAAGAGAAAATATTCGAAAATGGATGTCTTACATACATACATATGTGACTTCATATGCGTATGCAGCATATAATACCAACACATGCATATACGAATATAGCATGCAAGAAAGTTTCAAAGGCGCGTGTCTGGTGCTTTTCACTTAGCTATTTTAGTTAGTTTCTTTGTACACACATATACTTCACACATTCAATCTCAGTATTACGTTTACTTATGCTCGTCTTCTTTTTTTGCTAACGGAATTAAACTTTTTATTTTCGTATTTACCGCTATTTTAAGTAGACATGTTGGCAGACGAAATCATGGGCAACTGGCAGACGGTACTGCTTTTGCCGCTACAGCCACAGGCTCAAAGACATACTGCACAAACACAGTATCGCTTGAGTTAGGCTCATACTCGTACAAATAAGAGTGTTTTGTAAATAAATAATAAAATGTGGAGAATACCCCGTGAAAGAAAGGAAGAAGTGAGTTGAAAGTTTGATGACTGCTTTGCGTGATAAAAATTGTTAAATTTGCTTACTGAAGTTGACATTGATGATGTTATTGAAATTTTTGTTCCACGTCCTTTTGGGAATTATATTCACATATTTTGTTAAAAGTTTTATTATTTTTTGAGTATTTCCTATGTATTTAAGTAAATTTCACAATTTAATATAGAAAATAATATATGATCGCTCGGTCATGCTGAACAATTTTGTAGTCAGAAAGTAATGATGACATATAATATTTCGAAAAGTTTTATTTTTCAAAACCATTACATATATTTTCGAGCCAAATTATTAAAATATGCTACACGCATCCTAAATTAAACTACTCAAAAAGATAAGAGTAAAAGAAACTCGGTCATTCAGTCGTTCAATATCTTATCTTCTTTCAATTATACTACTATATATATCTATAATACAACAAATTCTTCAATTCCAATATTTTCGAAATTAAGTTTTTCTATTCGCAAAACTTGGCATAATTAATGATTTGACTTCAAACAAAAAACTTAAATCTTCGCAGTCGGTAGGATTCGAACCTACGCTCCCAGAGGGAATCTGATTTCTAGTCAGACGCCTTAACCGCTCGGCCACGACTGCCTGCAAATAATTCCAATCCACCAATTTAATAGTCAAATAACTTTTTTTTGCATTCTATAAATTTATCAAATTTTGTTTTTCTTTTAGCAAAAACTTTCGATTTAGTTAACTTGATTTATGGAAGCAGATAACAAAAAAAT